AACCTAAACCTATCAACTTTGTCAACCTCGCTCGAGGTCCATGAGGTGCAAAAAGTAAGCAAAACTGGTAGAACTCTCAGCTCTCAAAGTTTATCCTAAACCCTAAACCTATCAACCTCGCTCAAGGTCCCTCAGAGATACACAGTTCAAGGTTTGTGTCTGGCCCCCGGGATTAATGAGGTGCAGAAATTAAGCAGAACCGGTAGAACCCTCAGCTCTCACAGTTTATCATCTTCGCTCAAGGTCCCTCAGGGTTGCACAAATGGCTTCGGTCAGAATCCTTTTGGGGTGCAACAAGATATAAGCTTCAAAGGGTTTACATGGTGGAACCAAAGCACAAGGTCTAAGATCCTTCAGTCGAGCAAGTGGCCGAGAAGCCACAAGCCCCAACGGAAGTCTGGAGTCTAGAACCAACAACTTCGCCCTTACATGAATCCGAAAGCCCCACCAGCTTGAACCCTGCAGGCAGACGATCTCCTTTGGGAGGAACTTTGAGCGACTTTGAGAGACCAGGAGGGAGGATATTTCGAGAGTATGTGTATATAGACATATATAGACAGCAGACACAGACATAAATATAGACATGGAGATAGGGATAGGCATAGAGACAGGGAAGGTAGAGATATATTATAGATTATAGATATGGATATACATATAAATGCAGACTCAGATTTCGATATAGATATATAGGTCTGGATATATCTATATATATATATACAAAGACAAATATTGGTATACTATCTACAAAAATGTAGATGTAGAGCAAGATGCAGAAGTACATGTACATGTCTCTTTATTTGTATATGTGTCATGATTCCTACCCATGGCTTTGTGACACTACAATCATAGATGTTTTAGGATGTACACTCTTTTGCCTCTGCACACATATAGTATGTATATGTAGCCAGATAAAGACACACACACACACACGCACATGTATATGCATATATATATATAATGTATGTATGTATTTGTGTATTTTTATGTATTTATGTATTTATGTACTTGAACCTTGATTTCTTTACTTATTTCTCAATATATATATATAGTGTTATTTAGTTATTTATTTATACAGTATGTGTGCATATACACATTGGCATACAGACACACATGCCCCTCACACACACATATTTATATATATATACATATGTGTGTGTACTCACATTGCACATGTTCACATATTCTCACCCATATGTATGTATTTATATATGTATGTCATTTGCTGCGGCTCGACCCAAACCACTTTTGCATTGTTTTACCCGTTTTGCATGCTCGAAAGCCACACAACAACCGACGAAGTTTGTGAAGAAGTTTAAACGAAACTTCGTCGAAGTTTGGCCCCCGGGCCATATCCAGAATTCCTAGGATTCTGGATATCGATTTTCCAGTTCGTGAACCCCGAAATCGACGAGACTATTTCCTAGGATTTTGGAGAAAAACGACAAGCCGAAAAGGTAGGATTTTGACTATTATCCAAAATTTTTTTTGGATATCAACGAGGATATATATCCATATTTGAGTTTTGACTATTAGTCACGATTATGGATAAATCGTGTGATTCTGGAAATGTTAATTTTCAGACTAACTCGGGCTATGGGGCACTGTGTAACGATTTTTTCCGTTGTAAGGTATTACGGTGGCAGGTTTTTGCTTCAGCAATTTCGACTGACGAAGATGGCGTGGCACGGTCGCATATGTGTATTCAGTGATCATAATAAGGGATACAACGAAGACGACTTGCACATAGCCGGTGCTCTGGAGACATCGCCCAGGCCGACACCGCAGCGTACACAGAAGCCGACAGCGGCGCAGCCCGGCAAAGTGAGCAAGTACCTCTTTAAGGGTCCAGCGCGTCAGAGCTCATAGGGGGTTGTTGTGGCGGCAATTGCTACTAAAGAATATATAAATAAATAGATATATAATGATATATCTATATATATATGTGTGTGTATGTATATGTATACGTATATGTATATGTGTTTGTATTTGGATTTGTACTTGTACTTGTACTTGTACTTGTATGTATGTATGTACGTACGCACGTATGTATGTATGTATGTGTATATATATACATATATATATATATACACACCTCTCTCTCTCTGTTTCTCTCTCTCTCTCTCTCTGTTTCTCTCTCTCTCTCGCTCTCTCTCTCTCTCTCTCTCTCTGTCTCTCTCTCTCTCTGTGATTTGGGTACCTTAACCCCAAACCGTCCTGATTTGATTATCCTTCCCGCTCTTCCTCTTTCCAGGTGTTTGGCCAGGCTTGTCAACAAATCTATGCACCACCCCGAAATCCGAGAACCCTAAGCAAGACGTTTCACTCAACCAGACTTCGAACCTCGTGCCTTGCCTGGAGTGTCCAAGAGTGAGCGCCGACAAAAATCCAGGAGGACAAAAGCCCTCAAAGCAAAAAAACCCTAAACCCCTAAGCCCTAAGCTCCCCCCCCCCTTTGGTGGGAGGCAAAAAAACCCTAGACCCCCCTCTGTGGGAGGGAAAACAAACCCTAAACCCCCTCTTCCCATTTCCAGGAAAAGCAAGCCCAAGCTCGGCACTTCCAAGGCTCGCCTCCTGCCCGCCTCTGGTCATCGTATAGTACCACCTGTTATCATGTAACGGTGGTGCGTAGTAGATAATTTGGTACTAGAACGTACTGGTAGTAGACAAGAACGCTGCTATGATATAATTGTACAAAAAATATCATGATACTAAAGTTGTTGCGTATTTATGATTTCTAAACTTACTTGATCTGAAATAGTAGGGTACTGCAGCAGCAGCAGCAGCATCAGCAGCAGCATCAGCAGCAGCAGGAGTGGTCGCAGCAGTAAGCTCCTTGGATTTGACGCTTGCTTCTGAAGCAGGATGGTGCCAGGGTTGTTCCAATTACGCTGGGTACTGTATATCGGCAGAAAGTTCGTGCTGGCTTCCGATTGTTAGGAGTCGTTAGGACCAACAGAACATGACGCCCGTGCCGCAATGTGAAAACGTGATGGGATGTCACGAGCACCCGTCAATGTGTATGCCATGTGGCCGTGCTGCATGTATTGCTCAGACATCCCGGGCTGAAATCACTCGTAGGCGACGAAACACAGAAGCTGAGGCCAGTAGGACAAGGTTCGCCACCGATGCCCACAGCGATTAAGCCAATCGCCCACTGCCCTCAAAGAAGGAAGAGTCTTTTGAATCCTCAGCTGCTGGACCAGGATGGTTTTGAGCCGTCAGCTTCCGAAGCGAGGCCACTACTTCCGAAGGTCTTGAAATGATTGTTTGGAGGCTTTAAATGTCAATGATTCGTATGGGCGTGGGGCGCCGTTTCAGGTTCGTCATCGGTTCCTTTCAGGTCCCAGGAGGGGGCACCTGCAGAAGCAATCCGCTCGAGAAGTCCGCGGTTTTCGGCTACAGTACAACTGCAACAGTGCCGGCGAGTGCTGCTACCACCACTACTACTGTTGCTACACTGTGCGCCTGCCGCCTCAACTGCCATTGCTGCTGCTGCGGCACTGTTACTTCCACTGGGTTTTACTGCTTCTGTTGTTGTCGCTCCTCTGTTGCGGCTGCTACTATACTACAACTGCGCTCCTGCTGCTACTACTACTACTACTACTACTACAACTACAACTACTACTACTACTACGACGACGACGACTACTACTACTACTACTACTACTACTTCTACTACTACTACTACTACATAGTACTTAGTACTTACTACTTAGTACTT